AGATGATCTTTCGAGGTCCCATCCAACCTTTAACATTTTGTGTGATTTTGTGTGATCTGTCCTCACAGGGAAAAGCTGTTGGGAACTGATCACAATTTTTCCGGGCACCCACAAGACACCGGAGCAGAGTAAGTCTATTATCCTAACTCTGGGAGGGGTGGAAAATCCCACAGAATCTTACACTGCAGGAAACTCTCCTGCTTGGTGTTTGACCCAAGATAACAATAAGTGCTATGGATTTCAGTGCTGCTCTGCATGGAAATGCTGTAGAATTGAAAGTCTTCAGTGATTTGTTTCTTGCATGCAGTCTGCCTGCTCAACGGCCCATACAACCATAGGGTTCTGCTATGCAGGAATTCAAAGAATCAAAAAGAAAGTGATTCAAGGGGACCCTGTGAAGTAGAAGCAGCAGGTTTTTTCTCCCAATCTTTTCTCAAGATGTACAATCGCTTGCAAGAACAAAACCTAGAGCTAAAACCGATGAAAGGCTGTTTTAATCTCCCCTCGTGTAAGTGCCTACTATACAGGTTGTTTCACGTTTGCAGGTCCTGGGTACGCAAGGTAGAGTAAGGCTTTGCATGGTTATTACCAAGTGAAGCAATTTGCATCACTGGGGCTCTACATAACAGCTTTAGGCTTCCTGGTAAGTTCACCTCATCCTCTGTGTCTTAAAGAAAAAAAACATTAATGCATCATTTGCAATGCTAACCACAAAAAAAATGAAATCTTATGCTTCAGCATAAAGTAGGATACATAAGGAAAATAATTTTTGCCAGAACAAGAAAGGGTACAAGATTATTCCTGTAATCTCTAGTAGGTTTGGTGATCTAAATCCCCAGACGGTCATCGGGGATCTGGGAAGCAAGACTTCTGTTAGAGCCAGATGTAGCTTGTACACCTCTCTGAGCAGCAGAGATGTTCCCCAAGCATGCACAGTAATGGTAGGACATGGATAACTCCAGGATCAAAACAAACCTCTAACCTTAATTTGCTGATGCAGAATAACAATGAAAGGATCAGCTTTTCCTGAGAATAGAGAATTGAATTAAAACTTTAAACTAAGGTAGATCTTATAATTTTAAAAGACAATATGAAATGAAACTCTTAATTCACAAGATGTTAAAATCACAGTGGTTATTAACCTAACTTAAATTAACTGGCTTATTATTATAGAAAGTCATCAAATGTACTTAGCATTCTTTAGAGCCTTACAGTCAATTAATATAACATGAAATTGAATCAACTCAAGCATCTAGAGACGCAGAACCTAAATTTAAATGAAAACTTCAGTCCCATCTACCTCAGGGTCTGAAAATTTGGGATCACCTACCACATTTTCTCCATTGCAACAGGCACAAACACTCATTTATATCCCATATCGAATTTACCCAGAAACAAATGAAAGAGTGTGGGAAAACCATCTCCATGATTAAATTTTACAGCTGAAGCTAAGCCCAGTGGAGTTTTCACCCTTTGAAGCTAGCTCTGTCTGACTAACGGCCAGATTTTCTGAAGTGATTAGTACCACTGGGGCTGAATTTTTAGAACTGCTCAAGTTGTAGTTAGACCCTTAAAAGAAGCAGACAAATTTTCAAAGAAGTGTTCCACACTCAGTTTCCCTGCGAGGAATACCATGGTACACTGCAGGAGACCTGATTCCCAAAGGAGCTCTTGACTGCAGAGTACTTCTGAAAATCAGGACATTTACTTATGTGTTTCAATGGGATACACCGGTGTTTATGGTCTTTTAAAAATCTTGCCCTAAACACAGTTGCTAAGCTGCATTTATTGCTGGCCAAAACCAATTATTCTTTATCATGGCATAAAAAGGAAGGGAAACGTTGTATTTTTCTAATATCCCAGAGTATTCTTTGCAGAAAATGCGCAAGTTTTTTACAGTGTTTGTCAAAGAGAAAGAAAGTGCTTGTTCAATGCTGCATGTGAAAGCTGCTTACTGGAAAAGATGAAAACATATTATTGCCAATTTTGAAAAAAGAAATCTTTGGCTACTAATGAATAACTAATCTAAGCTAACAATGTCTGGAAATAGTTTTTTTGGAACACACAAAACTTTGTGACGGATAAAAATTAGGAAATTAAAGCTTATTGTATTATTCCAAATGTAAGTGTTTACACTTGAGGAAAAATAATGGAATAATATCCACTTGGAAAGTTTTTGTTTTTAAAAAATCCTTTGTAATACTCCCAGAAATTCCCTTAGCCAAAAACAAATAACTTGCTTCTTAACCAGCTAGAAAAAAGAACATGATACTACAGGCATGGGCTCAGTGTACAATAAACACACAAATGGCTTTATGAAATTCCTTGTGAAAAATCTTGCTAGCTAGTAAACATTTAAAATGCACTAAAAATCACTCCACAGCATACTAGATGTCTTCAAAGTGCATTTTCTCATGAAACAACAAGGCATAGATAAAAAAACCTTCTGCCACTTAATACAGACATGTATCACACTGACATGAGAGGTGTCCAATCACCCATGTTTAGATTTATGTGGGGAAAACCACATCCCTTTCTGAAGCCTTCCAGTGCCTCCCTGGCCCCGTAGGTACAGCTCCCTCTTGCCTCAGGCAGGGACCGTGCCCCCCATTAGAGCTTCAAGCCCAGAGAAGCCTAATGAAGTTCACTCCATCAACAGGCCTTTGATGTGGGTTTTCCACCATCAGATGCTCAGATACCTCACCTTAGTCAAATGACCCAATATAAAGAACCTCATGCTTTGGGTCAGAGAGAAGTGATGGGTCTAATGGAGGCAGAATTAACGCTGCAGAGAGAGTTTAAAGGGGCTGCTCTTCTGCTGCACCCCTAATTCATTATTTTTCAAACTAAGTTGATGCCACACATCATCTATGCACACATTTACATGCAAATACAGGACTTTAGCTATTTGTTTGTGAGCTCACATACATGCTTCCCCCATATTCAGGAAATTTGTTATTTAGGATTGGATTCTGAAAGTAAAATAAGCCGTGCAAACATTGTTAATGTAAGAATGCAGCTGCATGTCTACATGAATGAATGATTTCAATATTTACAAGTATAAAATTCTCAATCTGCACAGAGCTCTGGTATTTTTACACATATTAGGTATGAAAGTAGAAAGCCTCATTCATTTGACAATCCAATCCCTATACCCATTTTTATCTATAACAGGTTGCTCTTTCAAAACCGTGGATAGATCTGTCTACTTACAGAAAAATGACCCTTAAATTATATAATATACCAGATAATTAACAGCTATAAATTTGGTCATATGTAAATAAAAATTAGTTTCAAAAACTGATTCTGTAGCTCATATGCCACTCTACTGAAACAGGCTGAGAGATGGAAGGTTTTTAGGGTCTGTGGCTCTATACTCCCCTAAAATCAGTTCTAGGAATCTCCCTTGAAATTAAGGTACTTGCTCTAACATTCAAAGCATACAGTTTCTAAGTAAAAACCAAGCATGGTACTTTTCACTCTCACAATTCTTCTCACTTCTTCCTAAAATTCAGTTGTCTCTTTACCCTACCAAGTCTTGAACACGTACTCCAGTTTACGTAAGTCCACCAAATTCAGAATGGTTATTCACAACACAAGTGAAAACGATCTAAGCAAAGGCACGCAACATCGGGGTCCTGGATTTTTAAGTCCATGAACTCTCTGAGTTATCACATCCCTTGTGCTTTGCTGAATGCCTCTATTTGTACATACAGAGAATGCACTTGGGAGAGACAGAGACACAAACATCCATCCTTTCTGTATTAGCTAGTGAAGAAACCTTAAAATCAGAATAGGGTTGCTTTTGATTTTTGCTTGATTTTTATTACATATAAATTTATTAGCCGATGCCCATACATTGTCACCACAGTATTGTGTCTCAACAATAATTATATTATGAACATAACGAGTACCCTCAAATACCATATACTGTTTCTCCCCTGCCTAAAAAAGTGAACCCACCAATAACAGCTGTTATGTAGCCTGTTCACCCAACATGAACAAGCTCCAAAATATGCTTAAACCTTACCTAAAGAGTTCTTACTTTCTTTTTCAGGGTCTTGTAAAAGAACACCATACATAAGAGAGAAGGCAAATGATCCATTTTCATACTCTATTATTGAAAAACTTTAACAGTTATACTCAAATAACCAAAACATAATACACAGAAAATCCTTCTGAAGTCTTTCTGAAGCTGCTGTAAACTTCCTTTCTTTATTCAAACCTTAAGTTCAATTCCCCTTAGAGACTTCTTTTTTTTTTTTAGTATCATTGCAAACATCTTACCATTCATTGGTTACAGAATTTTACCCATTCTGCTTTCAGACCACAGTCATGAACCACCATTTCATCATTCAGGGAAAAAGGTAATAATTCTGTGTGTTCTGCAGAAACTCAGAATACAAGAGGTTATGCTTTCACATTTGCAAAGACTGGAAGACTTGATGGATATTTTTCTTCCTATTCTCATTCCAGGACAACACATCTACATTGGTGCCCACGCTGACACCGGAGATCAAAGTTCAAGACAGGAGTAAGAGCCAGCTTGCTTCCGTATGACACAGCCATTGGGATTTACTACCCCAGGTGCAGCAGTGGGCTCCCACAGCTGTCTCACATCTGGAACAGAGCAAGTGAGTCTTCCCACTACAGGTCTCAGGCATACTGAGATGCTCTCTGCCACAGCACAGGATACGCTTGAGTGATGTATGTCAACAGCGGTGACTCATGGAGGAACAACACAACATACGTAGAAACTGAACAGATTAAGAATGCCTGAAGGGTGGCATTGGTTGACTTCTCCTCATAAGCAATTTCTGTTTTAATTCCCTTAAAGTAAACTGCGTAAAATATCATATCCAGAAAAAGACACACTTAAATGCACATCTGCTCCATCTCTGAGATGATGCGACTGGCTAATCATACATGAACTAACAGAAACATGGATTGAATTGAGAGGGGTTAATCTGCAAGGCAGTTGAGAATGGACTAACACTAACCTCTGGGTAGCCTCCAACATCATGCACATCGATTCCAAGTAGATGTCCAAGTCCGTGTGGCATAAATATTGCACCCAGATGAACCTTCACCATGTCATCTACATTGCCTTTCAGAATGCCAATTTTAGTCAACTCCTCCAGATGGACTCTGTCAGCCAGACGGTGCATATCAGGCCAGGCGACCCCTTAGAGAGCAGAAACAAGCAGCTGAGTTAACTATTGCTAAAAGTTTTTAAAGACTACTTTCAAAAAGCAGATGTAACACGTGCCCTTTGTTTATATAAAAAACAAAGGTGGAAAAAGCAACTACATCAGCACAAAAATACCTCAAACAAGACAAAATTATCTTAACATGCATGCAAAGCACAGAAAACTACAAGAGAAACAGCAGCACTTTATAATCCAGATCCACGTGAAAAAATGTTAAGACACTGTATCTAAGCATGTCTATGCAGATGCAAGTTTGAATTTTCTAAAATAATGTCAACTGTAAAATGCAGTTATTTAAAATGCAGAGCATAAAATATTACTACCCTATTTAGATAGGATACCCATTTAGAACATTTGAGATGGACAGTACTTTCTTACGTATGTAGAAGATTTAAAGCCCACATCCTTCTGGCAAAGACACTCTCCAGAAATTAATGATTCCCTTGTGTTAATGGGCTGTGTAAAACACAAGTCCTCTAATACACGTACTAAAACAGCATTACAAAATACTGTTGGTTGACTAGAGACAGAGTGCCAGGATACATTACATTCCTGTTATTTTGGTATAGGATACAATTTTGTTTGACAAACTGCTGGGGGGAGGAGGGAGGAAGAAAGCAGCTCTTTTGTTAGTAACACAGTACTGTCTTAATTAGTTCACCATGGCTTTGAGTCATCATCAACAGAGCAGTTGCAGAGTCAAGACAACTAGGGCTAAGGTACAGTAGAAGAATATTTTCCTTGTTCAATTTTGGCATGATTAAACAAATAAAAAATGAGCAATTTTTAAGGCCAAAACCCCATCAAGTTCCATTTGCTTTAATCCAGTTAAGCATGCAGCTCTAGGGTCTTGTGAACATGAATGTCATATCATAATTACATTAGCACTTTTTGCTGAAAGTACTGAGGCTTCAAAGGCTGAAATAAAATCATCCTATGGGAGTGCTTAAATAAAAATCAGTTGTCTTATATGGCTCTGATATAAAGGTTAGAAACAAACTGCAGAGCAAGTGGCTGCTTTGTCTTGCACACTGTCTACACAGAAACTGATGCACCTTTATGCTCCCGTTACTACCGACTGGGAATCAGCACAGCATGTAAGTTAGTTAACAGGTAGCCTCCTTTTCCCCATCAGATTACTTGGAGATCAAACTTTTTAGGCTGTTGCATGCATGCATGCAGCTGAGCAAACACCTTCCTTGCCCAAGCAAGACCATAAGAGAGAGGTGTGCAGCACAATACACTGGACAAACTCTTGGTTGCTCACAAAAGCCAACAGTGACCGAGATGCTCACCCACAAAATGTGCGCCTGTTCAACATGTGCTATTTTTGTCCTTCCCCCTCTTTAAAAAGGAATTTAGATTTTTCCTTCAGTAAGAACTAATACAACCATAACCAGTTGTTCTTTAACAATTGTGTTCAAGATAATTATATTTTATAAGAATTTTTCTTTTTATCTTTTTATTTTTGAGCTGACTAGAGACAGTGAACTA